ACACGAAGTGCACTCTTGTTGAGCTTTTATTTCCTTTTTTAATATAAAAGGAATGCTAGCATATTTAACAATATTCTAGCTGACAGAAAGTTATCTCTGCAGTAGATAATTTACAAGTTATGCATATGAAATGTTAATAGTGTGTATGTCGGTGAAATATTTCAGCCTGATTTAAACTTCAAGGAAAAATCAAATTGTCTTTAAAATATATGTATGACAATGACACCTCCAGATGTGCTACAGGGTTGGATTGCTGTGGTTGACTCAAAAATAATGGGTAAATATAGGGTTTTATTGTAACATTTTGTAGATACATAGTTTTATGGAAGAAGTGAACCACTGTTTTAAGGTGTATATAAGTGCTTCACTAAGTTAATTAAAAACAAACAAACAAAAAACCTCAGCTTGAATTTCTTCAGGCATTCCTCATTCCTAGTGCTTTGTTTTTCTGTAGACATCTGCAGAGCGATTGAGTTGCTGGAAAAATTACAGAGAAGTGGAGAAGTGCCACCACAAAAGCTACAAGCTTTGCAGAGAGTCCTTCAAAGTGAATTCTGTAATGCTGTAAGGGAGGTGAGTTAACTCGATGTGAGCAGCTGCCTTGAGTTAGAAAGCGGTATGCCTTATTCTCTCCCTTCTGTGTTCAGTGCAAGAATCTGACTGAGTTCTTTCTAAAAGCTGAATTTGGCTTACAGAGCAAGACTGACATTTCTAAATTTGGGGTGAGATCTTGAATGCTGTGAAAGGAGGGAAGATTTGGGTTGAGACCTAGATGTGCATGGATTAACTGAGCAATAAAAATGCCAAGAGAGTTGTTTCTTCGTAATATGGTAGATTGTCATTGACACCTTTTAGTGAATCAGAGAGTAACTTATTATTAGGAGGTGTGTACTTTTTAATTTACACATTTTTGAGTTGTTATATTATCCAAGCAGAAAAATACCTGTTCTCCCTATACTTAAACTGTTTTTTCTCTAAAGGTGTATGAACATGTATATGAAACTGTGGATATCAGCAGCACCCCGGAAGTCAGAGCTAATGCAACAGCAAAGGTAAAAGCCAAACTATAATGTGTAAAATACAGTGGTTTGGTACTTTAGAAGCAGGAGAAGATAATTTAAAATGCAGAAGGATATTATCTAGATGTCTGATAAAATGGATAAGCTTAACAGGTTATTAAAGAATATAACAGAAGACTTGTTACTTTTAAGTTTCCTCTGGTTTAATTTTATTCACGGAGTTATGAATTTTTCATGCTAGTGTTGGTATCTAGGGAATTAATGTACTTTCTCTAAATTTTTTACTACTCTGAGATAAAAATACTTTTCAGCCTGCTCACTGTGCCTAGCTATGGAGCCTATATTTAATTTCTTATTTCATAGGAAATTTCTGTTTCTTACAGGCCACCGTAGCTGCATTTGCTGCTAGTGAAGGTCACTCCCATCCCAGAGTGGTTGAACTACCCAAAACGGAAGAAGGTCTTGGATTCAACATTATGGGAGGCAAAGAACAAAATTCTCCAATCTACATCTCTCGAATTATCCCTGGCGGTATCGCTGATCGACATGGAGGCCTGAAACGGGGAGACCAGCTGCTTTCGGTGAACGGAGTGGTAGGAACTGGTTTTCACTTTATGTAGCAGTAACTACGTGTTTCCACTTGGGGGCATGCCGAGAATAGACATGGCACAAGCTCCATGTCTTTTAATCTTGGCAAAATTGTTTTTGTCCTTGCAAGAGCCACTTGCTTAGGTTTCTCTAGTGTTGCAGGCGTCGAGAGTTCTAGGACTGTACTTTGGTGATCTGTCTGAACTGGGAACTGTGTTATTTATTTCAGTATTTTGGATTCTGAGGGGTCATATAAATTTAGTAACAGCATTGTTTTGTGAAATAGTAACTGCTGTTATGGCTTCCTCTTTCATCTGGGTTTCACCATGCAGATTTCAATTAATATAGTTTTCTGCAGCTTATAAGGTAAGTAGTAAATTATCTTATGTTGCAGTAGACTGACCAGATTCTCATTAGCCCAATAAAAATGCTACTGCATAATGAAAGCTCTAATAAGATGGAACTACAGGGTGGTGTTATCTTCAGTTGTTTAGCATTTTTCTTGCCTTCCACTTAAGTGTACTGAGCCTCAGAAACAGACTTTTTAGCATATTTGAAGGAATACATGTCTAAAGTGCTGTTGCAGATATATTTGATAAGTATCCTCTTCTGAAGAGTTACGGTAGAAAAAGCAAAACACAGAGTGACTGGAAAGAGGAGGCTTTGGACAGCCTTTGACTGAAGGCAGCTGCTAGTCATGTAAATACCTCTCAAACCCTTGCTTTTATTTACAGAGAAGCTGCATGCTAGCTTAAAATTAATGTTTTCATTGTTACATCTCCAAACCAAATTTTAAGACTAAGGGTAGAACTGAATCCTGTGCCGTTATGCCCAAGCGAGGTTTTCTTGACACGTGAAAGGACCAGAGACCTGCTGGGTGTCTGTGCTCTGCCAAGTCCCTGCTGGCACAGGGCTGACTCACGTGCCTCCTGGCTCTTACGTGGGAGCCCAGCTGGCGTTTCCAGGAGATGTAAGAGAAATCGTGGCCATAGTGACACAGCTGGCCTTGGCCTAGCTTTCCTGTTATTTTGAGGCATAAAGGGACAGATGTAGAACTGTCTTCAGATGAGGCCTTCTTCACCCACGGACCCTCTTAAGGAGAAATTCACATTCCCAGAATGGAATGTGATTGTCAGACAGTTGGTGCGGGTGGCAAGGACTGCGTGTGTGTGCATGCACCCATACGGATCCGTATGGTCATTGGAAAAATACAGCGAGTGCATGAAAAAGAATCATCACACTCTGATGTTTACACATGGAATCCTGCCACCTTAATATATATGACAGACATTTTCTTGTAATTTCTAATTCAATAATTTTTTAAAAATTACCACTGCCAAGACTGCAGTGGATGTACCTTAAAGCAAGTTTATTTTTTTTTCAGCTGGGAGATTTTGAGTGTGCTCCAGATTTTAGGTGTTTTGATAGAATTAAACCTAGAACTTCATGAACCTTTTATTACCATTTTTAAACAGAGCATCCTCACATCCCCTTGAATAACAAAAATGAAAACATTTAAATGTATGTTGTCTAAGTCTGACAGAAGAGAAAACTTGGGGTTTTTTAACTGTTGTCTTTCTTTCTGTAAGTAACTTTATAGTAACAGGGAAACCTTCCAATCAACAGGTACCTCACCTGCCTTCTAGCTCCTACTAGCACCAGTGGGAGGTGGGCTTGGGGTAGTGTTTAATAAGTTTGGGAGAAATAAGTTTTGCTGCTAAAATGTGTGCTATCCGAGAACATGTATTTGGATGCGGTTGTTGAGAGCAATTGCTTAAAATTTGTAATTGGATGAATCTGATAAAACCCTACTAAATTCCAAGAGTTGTTTCAGGAAAGTAGTTTTACTCTGTTCTCACAGAGTTGAGTTAGGCAATTCTTAATCAGTTTAGGGGAAGTTAACCTCAGAACCTTGCATTTACTGGGAGACGTGAAGCGCTAAGATAAGCAACACACTGCACGTCAGCTGCTTTGTTGCAGGCACCCAGTAGGCACTGGTTTGCCTCAGCATAATCCAGGATAACTTCAGGAAGGCAACTATCTTGCAGTTGTCTGCAGCTTCTTACTCAGCCTTATTATTTGAGGGTGACTACTGAATTTAAAAGGCATCCTGAAGGAAGATAAACCTCTTAAATTTTAAGTAAGTGGCCTCCTGAAGTTTTTGATTTTCTAGCGTGATTTCATACTTGCCTAATGTTATCCTTATTTCATTTACTGTGTATAAATACAAAATTTACTTGTCCAGCATAAATCTAACCGAAGGTTTCACGGTACTCTTCTGTTAATGCTAGTTAGTATATTTATCATCACCTCTTACTGATTTGGTGAGAACAAATCCTGAACTTGGGTGACGTTGTTCTTGTGCAGTCTCCAAACTAGAATACTTTGATATTTGATTATATAGAAGTTGTAACAAAAATGAAAAAAACCCACAAAATCTGTTTTCAGTGTGTTTCTTTACTAATACTGTATTTAATGGTTTATGCTTTGCAGAGTGTCGAAGGTGAACACCATGAAAAAGCAGTAGAACTGCTGAAGGCAGCTCAAGGAAAGGTTAAATTAGTTGTGCGATACACACCGAAGGTCCTGGAAGAAATGGAGTCGAGATTTGAAAAAATGAGATCGGCGAAACGCAGGCAGCAGAATTAACATTGTATGCAATAACTTAAAGAGAAAATATATTCTGTTTACGTTTTATAGTTTGCTTTGTGACTCAGTTGATCCAATGCCTGGGCTACAAAACACCCTGTCCTTTTCATAGATTCTCAGCATGGCTGAGGTTAGAGGGAGATCACCTAGTCCAGCCCCTCTGCTCAGAGGAGGGTTAACTAGAGCAGGTTGCTCAGGACTGTCATGGGCTGGGGTTTTAAGCATCTCTGAGGATGGAGGCTCCAGGAGGTCTCTGGGCAGCCTGTTCTAGTGTTTTGATCTCCCTCACACTTGGAAGGTCCATTCTTATGTTTAAATGGAGCTTCCTGTATTTCCATTTGTGCCCATTGCCTCTTGGCCAGTCACTGGATGCTACTGAGAAGAGTCTGGCTCTTTTTTTACTCTTCGCTGTCAGGCATTTACATGTGTTGATAAGATCACCCTGGAGCCTTCTCTTCAGCCTAGACAATCCCCGTTCTCTTAGCTGCTTCTTGTCCATCAGATGCTCCCATCGCTCAGTCCCCTTTCTGACCCTTCGCTGGACTTGCTTGTGTATGCCCATGTCTGTGCTGACCCGGGGAGCCCCAAACTGGACCCAGCACTTGAGCTGTGTCTCACCAGGGGAAGAGCAGAGGGGAAGAAGCCACCCGTCCGCCCTTGCTGTTCCTGCCGCAGACCGGCAGGCTGCTGGAATCCTTTGCCGCAGGGGCGCTGGGTGGCTTGTGGTTGACTTGAGGTCGCAGAATCACAGAATTATTGAGGCTGGAAAAGACTTCTGAGATCAAGTCCAGCCTGTGACCTGACACCACCACATCGGGTTGGTCTCCGCAAGGCTGCTTTGTAGCTGGTCGGCTCCCCCAGCCTGTGCTGGTTGTGGGGTTATTCCTCCCCAGGTGCAGGACTTTGCACTTCCCTTTGCTGAACTTTTTGCCAGTTTCTCCAGCTGGCTGAGGTCCCTTTGACTGGCTCGCTGAGGGTGTGCTCTGTCCTGTCACCCCTGGTGTTAATGAAAACGTTAAAGAGGGTGCAGCCCAGCACAGACCCCGGGGGCACACCGGCAGCCGGGCAGGACTTTGTGCCACTGACCCTCAGCAGTTCAGCCATATTTAGAATGTTTTCAGCCTCCAGGTGTTTCACAGTTTAAGAGGAATGTGTACTCTTAAAAGAGCCTAAGGTGCCCTGAAAAATTGTAAGTGTTGATATTTCCATTGATTTTTTTTTTTTTTTTAAATAAATCTTTTATGTCAGACCTTTAAGCATGAAAGTGAATTTACAGATTTTTCAAAGGCATTTAATAAGACTTACTTGTGGAATTGGTATCCCCTTTTTCCTGTTTTCTTTTGGCATTATTTAACATAGAATCTGCAGGTGTTTTTGCTGAATGATTTTTGACAAAAGGATTCTTATGTAGCAATATTTTGGCACTTTTCTTAAGAATATGTTGTATATCAACTACGAAACCTAATCTTGATCTACTGTGTAGCTGATAATAGTGCCGGATTTTGTAATGTTTTGGTGAGTACATTATTTTTACACTTCTGCTAAATTGTAATTCGTTACTCTGGAAATTGTATTACCTCACCTGTAAATAATTTACAGTTGGTGTTCGCGTATAATGGCTTTATAATAACCAACACTTAGAAATTTGCGAGAATCATTCCTGTAACTTATATTATTTTGTACTAATTTTAAAGCAGTTAAGGGGAAAAATGTACTTGTGTATGCAGTTCTGGATTGACTCTCTAGATGATGTATTTTTATATTCAGAAACAGAAGATATATTAATGCAGTGCAAAAGAATTCCAGATGTTTCCCTAACTTTCTGCTGTTTGAAAGAAATATTCCTCTTAATTGTCATACCTCTCTTGTGCTTTTAATATGTTCTATTGTAGTCTTATCTACAGACTGACAGTAGCAATCTTGGAATAGTTCGTACCTAAATTATTATTACGTTTATAAGAGTAAAATGTTCTGAGGCTTATGTCCAGGTCACTGTGACGTGTGAACTTGTCCGAGGTTTTATTATCGACTGCTTCTGACTTAGAGGATTCTTATTTGTATTACGGAAGTGCTACATCACCATTGCTCTAAAACTTGATTTGGAATGGTGCTGTGGTGGGAATAAGGAAATCTGCAGCTAAAAGTGATTCATGACCTATCTCGAGCGTGGCTGATGGTGGCACGGTATTAGTGTGCTGTTCTGAAGAAAACTTCTGGACGGAGGTCCACTTCTGGGAATCTACCAAGTTTGAGGCTGTACTTGTGTAGTTTTGGTTTTGGGGTTTGTTTTGCTTTTTAAGCTTCACTTTTTGGTATATATTTGGAATTAACGTGATTGTCTACTGGGTGTCTCTTCACTTGTACGGCAGCTATGAGTGCATCCTAATTTGACTGTTAGTAAGTTGGTTCTTAAAAGCTTAAACTGAAAAGTGCAGTTTTTTACTACATGGCTAATCCCTAGTCTTTTCACGTGGAGCATTGTGATCCATTGTGAAATAATTCAGTATGTGAAAGAAAGGAAAAGGTTAGTGACTTAAAAATGACAGCATGAAGTCTGTGCTTTGTTGGTTGATCTATTGGAAAAGAAAACAATACGATTGCTACGGGGAAGTGAGAAATGCGATTGCTTTCTGCATGTTTGTAAGCATGGTAAGCCTGCGAAGTGAAATTTGGGTTTTAAAAATACTGGTAGTTTGAAGATGCGGTATAAATATTTATCTGTTAGATGACATTGAGCACTGAATTCTGTGGTTGATCATGTGACATTGGCCTCTTTCAAAAGGGCTCATGTTACTGATACAACTATGATGTTGAATTATATATTTTTATGGAACAACTAATGTTTAAAGTATTGAGACCAAAATCACTAGTTAGACCAGTTGTGGATGTGTTTTAATTTAATTGTAAAATAGTAGAGATTTCTGTTAGAGCTATATATAAATATATATATGTTAAAGAAAGGTATGGATACAAGATAGAAATGTACGTTTTGAAACCTGTATCCCTTGTGTTACTGAACAAAGAGGTGTGTTTTGTTCTTCTATGGAAATATTCACTGTAGTGCAGCCAGAGCTGCTAAATGCAGTAACATTTTTGTGCCGAGTTGTAGCGTTTGGATACAGTTTAACCACAAGGTGTGGGAAGGTGTATCTGGACATAAAAATTGTACATGTAGAATTTAATAAGAAGTTTTTAATTTTCAATAACAAAAAAATCCAATAAACAGACAACTCAGTAACAGTCATCTTTAACACTATGGAAACCCTATAATATTAAGGAAAGGATGGGTTAAAATATGCCAAGAAACTTGGTCTCTGTTACTACTGAGCAGTGCCTGTACTGTGTTAATATGCAGTCCCTACACTCTTGGTGTGCTTGGGTGTGCAAATGGATTAAGATGAGGTATCATTTCTGCAGATAACTTCTGCATCTATTGCTGCTGTGAGGGATCTTTGGGTTTTATCAACAGAAAAATAAAAGTTAAACTTCACTTACGTTGTGTTTGTGCAGTTTTCTTCTGACTTCCTGTTTTGAGTAGTTTCCAGGCTGCTATCATTAGCTGTTTATAGCATCGAGGGCATGAAATAAACACCCTGCATGTGTGTGCGCATCCAAAGGGAAAAATCTGTTGGTTTTAGTTACCTGTTAATAAATCTGTTATTAGTTTGTTTTCCTGATTGCTCACGGATCTTCTTTTTTCTGTCCCAGTATCTTGCGTTGTGTTGGAGAAGAGAATCAGAATGCCATAAAGTAGCTGTAATACTTTGGTCCTTCTGCATTTTTGGGACCTCCTTAGTCTCGGCTGCATAAATTAAAATTCTGTGTAGTATTCTGTGTCAGATATTAGCTTTTAGTTGTTTGAAGCAAGTATCTCAAGTAATGAGATGTTGAATTTCTGTAATTCCTTATTTAAAGATCTTGCGAGGTTGTCAGCTACTGAGAAAAATGTGCCTCAAGTTATGAACAGAGCTAAAGGGAGAAGAAAATACATCTGTTCTGAATGTAAAAAGATTATTTTTTTTAAGGTAGGTAGGCTGCACTGCAAGTTGAAAATATATGCAAAAATATTTATGTGAATATTCTTACGTGGTGTAGAGGACTGATAACACATGAACTGGAAATAATAACCCATATTCAATTTTATTTTAAAACAAATAATTTCTGTGATCTGGCTTACAACAGTGGCTGCCTCTATTCTGCTAAATATGGCTCAGATTTATAGGGATAAACTGAATTTCAGCGGAAGGCTTATAACAGTGAAGAATGGAGTTAAGGTAACGTCATAAAGCAGTAGTTTATCTACCTCGTGTTTTCCTTTGCAATTACAGGTGTAATTGATTGATTTTTTTTAAAAAAAAACAACTACAAAATTTGGTGGAACATACTTTATTTCTGGCTTCTGATTTCAACCATGATCTATCAGCTGGTATCGAAAAAAGCTGGAAAAGTATTTTGTCCAAGCCAATATCCCACCTTAAACATGCACAGACTGAGCAAACCAAACTTAGTCTTAGACTAAATGAAAGAAGCAACTTCAGTTGTTTTACAACAAAATAATTTTCTTCTCTTCTCATCAGTTCTGGAGGCTGATTCTGGATGCAAAAATGTGGTTTCATATTAATTTTAAATCAAAAATACTAATTGAAGAAGCAAAGCCTCGTGTTTCCGAGCCTGCCTACTTGGTGGCATCAGCTGATAAAACTTGGCACTGCTGTCACCCTCCTGTCCTAAGTTATGAGAACTTGCTTGTGCTGGCATTTGCCG